TGCGACATATGAATCAAGATGCTATGACCGAAAAAATTTGATTGACAGATGACCGTTGATATATGATTGGTCGAATTTAGGTGTTCAGGCTGACGTACAACTAACTGGCCTGCATAAGATAACGAAAAAAAAAAAAAATTTAAAAAAAGAATTTTTTTTACATAGAAATGTCCTTATTTTTGGGACAATATTGTCTGATAAAGAGTAACTTTATATACATGTTTAAGCCAGAATGATTTGACATTTAAATGTGATTTCCCTACGACTTAAATGTTGGGTCAACTGCAGTATTATTGTTTTCATCAATTTAAAATAATCAGGTCATAACAAGTAATTAAACTCAAATTTAGTGAAGTCAAATATTTTAGATGTGATATCTGGACATCATTTTTTTTATGTGAGTAAGGTTATACTTTTTCCTTCTAATCCAACCGAGAAACAGCAAAACAATGCCTCCACTTCCAACCTCTTTTCATGTGAATCTATGTAAAAACAAGATAAAACTATTTTATTTGTTCAGTTGAGATGAAATACTGAGGAGCGATGGGTGCTGTTTATAATATCCAGCCTGCAAAAGTGTTACTTATTCAGAGTCAAAGTCTGTATATCTGACATTATGGGAATAAATGAATCAGAAATGTCTAAAAAAAAAAGTTTCTTCACAAACAGAAAAAATATGTTTAAATCTCTTAAAAACAAAAGAAAAAAAGACGCATTTCTGAAAATTGTACAATATCTTTTTTTAGTTGATAATCTGCCTTCCGCTCTGCACAGCTCGAGGCATTCATTTCACGTTAAGCACATCGTCCTGAATCACATCAAACAAGCCGAAGAGGAGGAGGCAACACTTCATGTTAGCGGAGATTTAGCAGATCATGCAAGCTGTTGTGGGCTACACCCTGTGCTCAGCTGCAGCACCCTGCAGTGTGACACAGGTGCGTCTGCTTGTCTCCACCAGTTAGGATCCGCACTACAGAGATGTGCTTCATGTGTCTGAAATAGTTAAGCGTCCAACGTGCCCCCTGGGAGCTCCCAGCTTCCAAACAAGGCTGACATCGGAGAAAGAGCCCGCCTTTGCAGGAAATGTGGTGTGAGGGAAGAAAGCGCTCTCAGGGGACAGAAGCAGCCTGTAGGATGATCTCTGAGACGTGAACTTTGAGCATAAACTACAGACACTGCATGCCTTATTGCAACACTCACTGGATTGTTTGTGCAAACAGTCCCAAAAAAAAACAACACAAAGCAAAGTTCTCCACATGATAAATAGTTTCCAGGAAACAATGGACAGGAAGTTAAGCTAAAAGCAGAGTTGTAGCTTATGAGACAGCAGCATGTGACACGGTAACATCACTTCTGTGGAGAAATGTTCCAATTTTAGGGGAGGAATGAGGAAACACCAACTCTCAGACGCCAGAAACGAGCAGAAGATAGCTTTATTGTATTTAGATAAAGAAATTCAAGTCGATATTTGGAGCTAGTTTACACCGTTACGCCCCCCCCCGGATTTCATTAGATCTAATCTTGTGCAATGAGAAAGACGCAGAGGTGAATCATGCATACAGCAGGGTACAGAGTCCAGCCGACTGAGCGTAACTGAAGTCCAAAAGCTTTGGAAATCTCTAAAGATAATGCAACATGAAGAGTAAAACAAACAGCACTAAAGCAGAACAAATTTTCAAACTGTGAGTCTGTATTTATGAAATGAAGCACAGCAGGGCTTACAGACGCAGCCTGAACAGGAAATCTAACCTCAAGTTTGCAGAAAGGCAGATTTCTCACCGATACAAACAAAAACGAAAAATACAACTCAAACAAAACTGCAATCTTTCTTTAATCACTAAACAGTCGGTGAAATAATTTTGGTTAGATAAAGAAATCAATCATCACCTTTAAGCTCAGATTACTTCTGCTCATCAGTCTGGAATTTGTTTTAAAGAATCATAAAGTTCATCACAGTAAAATCAGAAAAACGCTCAACAAGTGCAGCTTGTTTTGAATTTGAAAAAAGAACATCCTGACTGCTGCTGGCAGAGCTGCATCTGGGAGAAACAAAACATAAAGAAACAGTTTTGGACTGTTCAGCAAGACCAAATGTGCAGGAAACCAAACACCTCAGGTTAGCACTAACACCTAAAACCAGCTGTGGTGGTGCAGGCATCAGTGCAGCTTCTTTTGCAGTATTGGGACTTGGGTTCCTTGCAGAAATGACAACAAGATCCTTTGCATGACAGTTAAAGCACGATCCAAACTCTGCTTTCCTTAAGCATCCAAATCTGCAACAGAATGGCTGAAGAGAGACAATAACAAACTAAAGCTGTGGTTCAGGTAAAGTCTTAAGCTCGATCTGATTGAACCGTTGTTCCAAGACCTGAGCAGAACTTTGGATAAACTCAACATCACTTGACTTAAGGCTTAATTGTTGAGAAGAAGCCAACAGATATCCGCAAAGTGTGTAGATACTGAAAGAGACAAATTAAACTACTCCCTTAAAACCT